CGCGTGGGAGGAAAGCGGGGGGCAACTCTCGATTCCCCATACAGACTGAACAGGGGGCGTCCACATGTGCTGTACTGAATTACCCTGGCAAGCCATGGTGTGGGCACCTCCTCGACGCGAATGCTAAGGGAGTTTGGTGCGATCCACCAAACCTCAATTACGTGGTGCTGCTGGATTCCAGATTTACCCCGACTTCCCAAGATGCCGTGCCATCCTCTCTTCCCAAATTCGATGAGTAAAACACGCAGCACGTGCTCCTTGCTCGACTCGTTTGCTCTAATTAAGGAGAAATGTCACTTTCACGGAAATCAAATGCTTTGCGATTCCGCTCTCTCGAAATGTCAGGAAAACCTGCATCACCCTTAAGGATTCGAAAATGCGTTTAATTTATATGGCAGTAACCCCGACCATTCAAACCCCATCAGGAGTTTTCCAGAGCGGTCAAAGGGGTTAAAAAGTAATTCAACAAACTCTTAACAATCCAGGTAATAATAATTATTGTTATATTTTTAAAAAAACCCATGTTTTGGAGCAGAGTGTTTTACATTTATTATACCACCGTTAACGGACGCAGCGCTGATCATAATTGGAAAACAGATACGCATCGCCAACCGCCGCGTTGCCTTGCAGGTGAAGATGACTCGGGGGCAATTTCCCCGTTTCTCGGTGTTGGGCACTGCACGGTCGATGCTGCAGCTCGAACAAAGCAAACTACAACAACAGCAGCCATACACGTCAATTCGTAGACAAATACACACACGTGTGTCCGTGTGTGCGTGCGTGCGTGCAGAGCGGCAGTGCAGCTGTTAGCGAATTGCGTTACCCGAGTTCGTTTTTCCCGCTCACCGGTAACGATTGTTTGTACGCGCCCCGGGCCTCCCCTAGGTCGACTCAGCCTCAAATGAGTACCTGGTGCGGTGTGTAAACATCGTCAATGGGAAGACAAAGGCGGCCGGGCGTGGTGCTGTCCACCCCACCCCCCCCCCCTTCATATTTTGCCTTGCCGGCCTTCATAGGTTCTCGCTAATAGCGCTTGCCCCAACAAGGTGATCGGGGGGACGGGATCGTTGTCTTTGTGTGCAGGGTACGTTACCTAAGTGGAGCAAAAGAGATGATAATGGTCGTGTAAGCGGATCGTGAAAGCGCGCTCCGAACAAAGGCGCGCGAACCCCCGCGGGGGTTTGTAAATTGCTTTTTCCAAACGACACCTGCCGACTGACTCCTCCTGATCGCTCCGCGTCTCTCTCTCGTCGCCGCAGAATGAACCAACAACGCCGCCAGGAGCCAGCTGCTCAACAACAAAAGTAATTAACGTCTATGGCCAGCAACCGATAGCTCACAACATCTAGTATATCGAACAACTTAACTCTGAATCCTCTTGCTGGGCACATGGCACGCATTTCGCGCGCGAGTCGAGGTAAAGGCGCAGCCCCGCAACTGCTTCCGCTCACGCCACTGCCAGCAGAAGGGCATCGAGTAGAAGGGGAGCTGTACAGAGCTCCCCCTTCAGACAGTATTGGGCCTACTCTTCCACGGTGGTCAGACGTCTCGGAAGAGGTGGAAAGTATCCACGCTTCATCGCATACCACGCTGCAAGCAACGGATCGACCGTTCGATGTATTAGTTTACACGGGGGGTGGGGGGGGGCCTTTGAGGAGGGGGGGGGGAGATATCCGACGGCCTCTGGATTGCAAGTGCAAAGTGCGTGCGCTCACCAATACACAACTGGCGGCATCAGCGTCTCACACGCAGCAGCAGCAGCGGCAGCGGCAGCAGGAGCCATTCCTCGTGTGAGATTGATGATCATACTGGCGACAGCCAAAACTCACTCGGCTCCCCACGACGGCGTGGTTGCCACGTCCAGCAACAGCGTGCGTCAGGCAGCCGACGTCCGCTCTCTTCCCGTCAGCTCGCAAGCCCTTCGATCCGCAGGAGGGTGGGAGGGTCCGGCGTGATTGGCGCCGTTCTCAAAGTGGCACGCGCGTTGATGGTGGCGCGGCTGAAATCAATGCGAACCGATGAAGCGGCGCGCAGTTGACAAAGAAACGGCCGCGGCCCCACCACGCTTTGCCTGCAGCGGTGTCGGTGGCGGGAGGAGGGGCAGGGGGCACGGTGGTTGGATAATTTACTCGAATGGTCTTATTGAGTCCTAGCGGTCGCTCATCCGCTTTTGTAGGAAGGCAATGAGCGAACGAATGAATCGCGACACACCGCGAAGCGATGTTCGAGAATGAGACGCCGACGGCATCATCGAGCTGCGCCCGGGCGGTTCACCGACTCGAGAGGGATTAGATTCGGCCGGACGAATCAGTTCATGCATTTGTGTGTAACGATTCTGACGATCGGCATTGTCATTGGGAGGGCAGACTTCGTTTTCGTCGTGGCTTCCGTTGAGGTAGGCGCTCAAACGGTGCTGCGTGTGCGCGGCCAACCTGTCACTTGGCTTGTGCCACGGAGGAAAAGAAAAAAAAAACCGATTACTTTCGTTGGGGAAGATGAAGGGACAGGAGGAGAAGGCGTCCCTCTGCGATCACACGGCCCTGTGTAGCAACAGCAGCAAGCGAGCAGCTTCCTTTCTCACCAATTAGCGCCAAGGGTTGCAGCGCATTAAGTATAGCGAACCCCGAGCAAGCGTCCGACGCGAGACGAGGCAACCCTGCGAAGAGCGGTATCGCGCTGGGTGAGAGGGAAGAGTCTAATAAGGAGGGATGTGCCACAGGGCCGCCGTTTATTTTGTGAGCAGTCGATTGTGTGTGCCCACTGACAGCTCAAGTCCTTGGTGCATTTAACAAGGGGTGGGCAAATCGAGAAGGCGAACAATTGTCGCCTACCCCGCGTTAAATACGTTCCCAACAGAATTTATTTCAGCGGCTAATACCCTGAGCCAGTCTTGACATCTCCAGTGTCACCGGCAGTCAGGCCTCGTCGTGTCACGCATCTGTCCGTGTGGTGTTCAGGCGAAACGCTCGTTGCAGGCTTAGCTACTCGCAAAACGGAACGCGCGTGACGCTGACGTTCATCGCTATAGGCGAACGCATTCGTAGGACGAGCGAGCCGCGAAAACCACAACGGGTGTGTGTGTGTGTGTGCATGACACGTCATAATCTGAGCAACGATTGTGTCGCGAACCCCTCCGCCAACCGGACTCGGCCAAACAAACCGAATTGTCGCGCGCAGCTCGCAAAGCGATTTTTTTAAACTGCGCCAATTCTTATCGTGCCAGTGCACCGGCAGGTTGACGAGAGCGGTTCTCACAGCCAAAACTTTAGCAAAGGGCAACGGTCGTTGACCCTTTGGAAATACGCCAACTGCGCAACGCGATCGCGAGCAGCGCACAACCCACCTGGGACACGTTGCCGTAACAAAGCCAGCTGACGACAAAGACACGCGGTGCAGCTTCAGCAAAAAAAAAAGTTCCACAAGTCGCCGTTTATGTAAGCACGTGCAATGAACCTCGTTCGCAACCACACGCAGCCGGCCGTGCTCATCGGCGGCGCGGGTCATTTCACCCGAGATTTTGTTTTTTGGATCTCAAAAAAATCTAACACCACGAACATTTTTATTATCTGAGCAAAGGGCTCGCGCTCACGGTGCACCGAGGCTTCGTAGCGACCCGGCGCGCAGGCCACGTAAATGAATCCCGGTCTCCAGCACGGAACAAGAAGAGGTCCCTGTCATTTCCTTCCCACTCAAACCACTCAGGCCCTTGAAAACCCCGGTTTCATAACAGTATTCGTAATTGGATTCAAGACAGCCACTATGTTACAAAATACTACGTTATTTCTTCTTAATTGCATAACATACATTTGACCTTTCATCTTTTTGTAAACAGAATTTCAATGTCGCTTGAAAGCATAAAACACAGTCTTTACAAAACATATATTTCGATTCTTTTCTACGTGCAGACTTGTAAAAATATATATTTTCGTCAAACCCTAAAATACGAGTATGCAACACTGCAGGCTTAAGGACGGAAGCGAACATTCTGATCGGGAGCGTGGTGGATGAGTGATCGTTACGTTCTTGTACTCACCGACTCCACCCAATACAACCACACTCAGTCCAAATACTCGTCTTTAGCATAAGGGTGTTTGCTCACCACCACTTACACGATACGTTTACATTATTTGGCTGCTATACATTTCCGCACGATATGCCACTTTCGTTGAGCTATCATTTGTCGCCAGGTTGCGTCTGAAAATTAACTAATAGCTCAGTGGGCTTTACTTGGTAAAATAAAAGTAATTTAGTTTTGCTTTATCCATTTATTTTAAGTGATTTGTCCAATCCTTTGCACTCATATCGGTTTATTTTTTTGTATTGTTCGTCACTGTAACTCTCTGAGCCGCCCCTACTGGACATCTGTAAAAAATATATAAAAGAGCTTCATAGCTCATCGGATTCCTCCAGGATAAATAAACATTCTGTTTCTGATGTCCTTAGCTATGTGACGAAACAGGAGACCCCGGAGGAACACCATGTAGGACATGGCGGCAGAAAACACAAACTCCACACAGTAAAAAGGCACCCGAGCGCGGAATTGAACCGAGGTCCTTCTTGCTGTGTCGCCGCGACTGTTACTGCTGCAACGGTGATGCAAGGGCCCACCTGACTCTGGAACCGAACCTTTTCCCCGAGTTAGTAGGCTTGCAACCTGTGCCAGATGAAGAAGCATCTCGCAGGCCCCCTCGGCTTACGCTAACGAGTTCGATCCCTTCTTTTGACAGACCGACAAAGCACACAACCACAATACAACCTCCGGCATGTACCTAGAGCGAATAGACACACAGATCCTAAAACCAATTGCACTCTATTAAGACATTTCAGCAGTCAAGCCTCGGGTATAATTCAGTTGAGGAAATTAATTGAGAGATTAATTGGAATTGCTGTTGATTGCCGTCGTCTTTATCAATTATAATTCTCCCCCCCCCCTCACCGTCTCTTTCACCCCCTCCCCAGTATCCCCCCACCCCCTCCCGTCTCCCCCCCCGCTTCCTTCCACCATCCCTCCATCCCCCCCGTTTGCAGCCACAATCTCAATTGTGCAATTAACGAGACCCCTGGGACTGATATTGGACCTGACGTTAAACCGATCATTAAGGATATCAGACGCTGGGCTATTTAGGTGGTGGCTTGACGCGAGTGGCTAATGAGTTGATCACGCGCAGTCGAAGGTCACAGTGCGGCAGGGATGTTATCTGGTACAGGCATGGAAGCAAGCTCCGTGCCCGCAACCAATCACCTGACTTATAATAAACTAAAACTGAACTAAACTTGTATTTTTTTTTTTACCAGGTAAGGCCCACCGAGCTATATAACCTTTTTTTCAGGAGCAGCCTGGCCGCACATGATAGCTTAATGAAGTGGCTTATCACGTGCAAATTTACAGCAGCCAAAAATACTCTCTCTGCGCACGTCGATTCGATATGTGGAGTTTAAAAAAAAAACAGAGGACCCGGCGAAAATTCCACGGCGAGCGAGACGTGCACACTCCAAATATACAGGCGTCGGGCGTCGGGATCGAAGCCGCGTGCACGAGGCGAAGAAGTTGACATCTTCTCACGCTCTCCAGATCCCTCCACCAGGACCCCTCCTCCTCCACCAGGGCTGTCCAGGCAGGGCCCACCAGAGGCCATCGCCCCCCCTGCCCCCCACCCCGTTCTTTAGAGCTGCATCTCCGAACCGGACACCAACACGCCGGCCTCGTCGCGCTTGCGGGAGTTGCGCCGCCCTACCGCCGTGCGGATGTACGGCGAGTTCCTCAGATCTGCGGGGGAAGGGGGCCAGCCAGCGGTGCAACGTGTGAGAGCCGGCGGCGCCAGTGCCACCAGCAGGCCCCGTTCAGCAAACCGTCCACAATTCCTCCCGGCTCAACGTCGGACACCGCGGCGCCCCCGGGGGCTAACGGATCGCATGGAGACTGAGGCGAGAAGCGTGCGTCCACGTGTCGGGCGAGGACGGGGTGGGGGGGGGGGGGGAGGGGTTTATCAACCTGCGGCTCCGGAGTCGCATGCGGCTCTTGCAGAAACTGCTTCGTGACGTTGTTCACGAAGGACCACCATTTCTCATATTCGCCGCATTGCATTGCGGCTCTTGAAATATAGAATTTTTTATTTTTTTTCCGAATTCGAACAACAAAAATGGCTCTGCTTGTTATTCAGGTTGCCGACCTGCTGGGCTAGGAGGTGGCTTGCAGACTTCTGACCTCCGCCACCCCCCGTGGATTCATTAGCGCCAGGAGAAACACACGACGCACGCTCAAATAGGTGAGCAACCCACTTTCTCGACTGCCTCGTGGCCCAGCAGGTGGGTGGTGGAGTTTGTAACAACCACCACCACCCGATCAACGTTGACATCCCGGGGGGGGGGGGTGGGGGGCTTTTTGTTGTGTGACCTATGTGGAGCTGTGCTCTGTGCTGTGGTGCAGACCCCCAGAAGCCGGTTGGTCACATGGTCGCTCTCTGCTCACGAGTGAGTTTTGTGCTCATATAACCTCTGCTATACGGAGTTCCGCTGATTTTGCGATTTTACCCAATGGGTTACAAACAACGCAAAGATAGTGTGTGCATAATATGGTTGTTTGCGTTGAAACGGGGCCCTATGGTTTACGTGGAGTGCTCTTTCAAATCACATCTCGTAGGCAAGCAGACTTTGATCAACCGGGTTGCGGATGAGACGCAGATGGTCGAAACCGGTCCAGAGTTTGCTGCTGGGCAAACGTGGTGCGAAAAAACAAATCTGCTGATGGACTTTTTTAATTTTAATTAACTCATATGTGGAGACAGAGAACCGAGTTCTGCCCACATCTGTTTAACGCTGGGCTGCTGTGAAATGGCATCCACGGAGTCTGGGGAGGCTCGGGAGAAACCCGATATGCTTTGAACAAAATCTAATTTAAATGTGAGTCTGGAGAGTTAAAATGTAGTGGATCCCAGTTGAGTGAATGGTAATTTCAAATGCGTGGCTGCCCTGCACATATTTGACAGGCGACCCGTGACTGTAATGCATTAGGCGTCCGGTATTTTATGGTGGCTGAGGGTAACATATTTCACGTTTGTCTTCATCCGTAGGATGCTGCGTCGCACAAGTAACATTTGCTAGGAAAATATATATACACGTTGGGTCAAACGTTGATCCTCAAAAAAAAAACACTCCTCGAGCGTGCCAACAGTAAAAGAGCCTCGGATAGAATCGGCGCTCTCTGTCGCACAGACGTTTCGGGATGAAAATGCTTTCGTTTTGCCCTGGCAAACGCCGCGTGCGGCATGAAAAATCGCTGGGCTCTACGTCCGGTTGGCAAAAATAGATCCCTTCACTTGCATCCCGTCCTGCTGCGCGAAGCTAATAAAATGGGCCACGGGTCCTGTGCAGTCAGCACGAGGCAAGGGCAAAGTTGTGCGGTCACCTAATTTATTTTTTTACCATAAATAAGCATTCATATTTACCAAACGGTAGCAAATAAGCGGTAGCAATAAGCATTCATATTTACCAAACGGTAGCAATCGCGCAGATTATTTGACTTTCCTCTTATCGTGTTCTATGGTTCCTTCACGTAGATTGAAAAAAGAATAACAATAAAATAATACAAATGGAGCGAATAAAAAATAAAATAAAAATATCACGACGTTCTAAGTCAAAATTCGCTCTAATCGCTTGGGAAATAAATAAATGAAGGCGCCCACCTCTGATGGATCTTCAACAAGTTAAAGTGCTGCGGAACATTGAGCAGAGCGTCACGCGGCCACGCATCGGGTCAATGTAAGTGAGAGCATGGTGACTGCCATGCAACGTGTGTGCGTTGAACCTCTTTCACACCATACGTAGCCAACCGTGTCAATCGGAGGTGTGATAATAATATCGTACAACAATAATAATAATAATAAAAATTGCAGAACAAGCGCATCACGGGCAATCAGCAGGTGCGTGTGTGCCATGTTTGCGTTTGCTTATTTATTTGACAGAAGGAAACAGGCAGCTCCCGCACCTCCGATCAGCACGGTTGGCTACGTTCGGTGCAAAATAAGTTTAACGTACACGCAGCCATAGGTAGGGAAGAAGCGTAGAGGTCTCCAGAGTAGATTTGAAGCGGCACAGACATGTGCAAGGGGGAGGGAGAGTCCCAGACGATGTGTCAGCAAAAGGGAAGGAGCGACCCCCCGCTCAGTGAAGGTTAACTGTGGGTGATTCGGAGACAGATGGCCTCGTCGATGGAGCAGGAAGCGTCTGGCAGAGGGAGCGGAGCGGGATGAGAGGTAGGCAGGAGCGAGTCCACGGAGGATCCTGACTGCAGTGACGATGCGAGCCATTGGAGAGATCAGAGCAATTGGGGCGATGCGGTAACATCTCGAGATACGGGTGAGCTATCTGCGGTGGCATTTTGGATCATGTAGATTTTGAGGTGAGAGATTTGGATTGCGTGGGGGAGGCCGTAGTGGAGAGAATTGCAGTGGTCGAGTCAATCGGTGATATGACTGCTGAAGAGATGCCGAGGGTTGAAACTGATCCCGTGGCTACATGCAGAATTCCCTACAACGCACCTCTGCAGGCGACTCAAGGGTTAAGGACAGCCATTTACAAAAAATAATAGCGAACAGGAGAAAAGTAGAAACACTTCAATATATGTCTGAGGTAAAGCAATCTCCACCTTTTTAAAAAGCGCATTGTAAAAGGTGAATCTATGAAAGCGAAACCCGTTGGTGGTAAGAAGGGCTGTAACTAATTGTTATTTTTTTATTTTTTAAAGCAACTACACCTCAAGTGTGGCGATCAGTACAACATTGAGACTTTTTCACCGGCGTCATTGTCAAACGCCGCCTCAAAACCTAAATTCGAATTTCACGTGGCCACACTTGCACTGCCACAATCAGCATGAGCTGCACACATCCCTGTGTACGGTGTGGCCCAAAAACTCAGGGCACGTACGGTTATCGTATTTATTTGTACAAATCATATAGGCTGATTTAATTTATTTTAACAAATGTTAAAATTAACTCCCATTAACATTCAAACATGCATGAAATATCTTTAGCAATTAATCCAGGATTTTTGTAAACATTACTGGTGTAATCTTTGAACATCCATCAGTTATTGTTTTGCCTCCATTCATTCAGGGTTCTTTGTCCAGTGTGACCCCACAGGAAGAATACAAATAAACATTAATAATGAAAATATTTACTTTAACGAAGAAACAATTGGAATGTTTAATGCCAGTGTTCAAATAAAGAAATAACCCTAAGTGTCCTGACTTTTGGGCTGCCCTGTATATATATACACAGTCTACACAAAAGGCAGAGTTTGTTAATGACGACGACAGAGAGGTAACACCGTCCCAGAGTATTCACACCGACGGTGACGCCCTGCAGAAATCAACTCAGCAAAAGCCTAGGGGCCCCAAGTGGCCCATTGGGGGTCCCCATTGTCAATAATAATTAGGAGTGCACCAAATATCAACGCAAATATGAATAAAAGTTATTACTTCCATAATTATTGTAATTGTGCTCAGTCTAAACCCATCATTATTTCACACAACCGTGATACACGTCATGGATTTAGGTAACCTATCCATCACAGCGTGTTCGTATTCAGGTGATGCACTCAACAAAAGATTTCTGCCCACAGGGCTCCCGACCGACTGGCACCACCGCCGACGAACGTTTCCAGCCCCGAGGCTCCTCAGCCGCGTGTGTCTGCTGTGTACACGTGTGTGTGTGTGTGTGTACACACGTGCTGTGTACACGTGTGTGTGTGTGAGCGCATGCAGTAGTGCAACGGTAAGCGGTAGGGCAACAGTTAGCACGCTGCGCTATAAACCCAGCGACCTGGGAACGATTGCCGCGCACGGCCAACACCAGTGACCATTGCCTAAATCGGTCCTGGATTTCCTTTAGGTCGACTCAGCCTCAAATGAGTACTTCGTGCGATGTGTAAACATCATAACTGGGGAGACAAAGGTGGCCGGGCGTGGTGCTGGCCACCCCCTCGTGTGCTGTGCCGGCCTAACATCACTTGTCCCAACAGTTTGTTAAGGCTATACAGGAGATCTTCCACTTTGTATGTATAACGTACTGCTTTCGCATCGTACCTATCCAATCGTGTTAATCAGAGGTGCGGGGGAAGGACAAACTAAACACAAAAATCAGTTCCGTAGGATCATTTTTCAATCTATATTTAGCTTAGCTCCAGCGGCTTCCTAGCATCAGACGGAAGAGCGTTCCAGACGGCCACAGAAGCACATCAAAAAAAGCGCCGCACGATGCGGTGACCGTCATCTTTGTGTGATGGCCATACCAAAAAAGTTTCTGCTGCTGCTGCTGGTGCTGCGAGGACGGCCGAAGTTCGCGTGACGACGGTTTATGCTCCTTGACGAGATCGGCACGGTGTGGGAGTTGTTTGCGTGCGAGCGTGCGTGCGCGCGCCAAGGGCGTCTGCGGCAGTGGTGCAACGGGGGAGGGGGCACCTGTGATGATGTCCTCGATGGCGCCGTCCTTGCCTTCGTAGACGATACGCTCCTTCGCCTGCTGCCTCCGTTTCAGCTCGGCCATCAGGTCCATCTGAGGTTTCTTGGCAGTAACGCTCTCCGGCTGGAGCCGCGCATATCAGACGCCCAAAGTCACGATCCCCTAACTCTGGTTTTAGGCGTTTACTTTCGGGTGCGTTTAACGTGGCTTTTAGGCGTCAACTAAAGACGACGAAAATAAAATGAAACTGCGAGTTGTGTGTGTGTGTGTGTTGAACTTTGTTCGCACCGTACGTTAGCCAACCGTGCTAATCGGAGTGTGAGGGGGGAAGGACAACAAGCTAAACGCAAAAAGCACTTCTAAGGTAGTGAGCGACAGTCCTTGCAATGTCAGCTCCGGCGTGCGAGGCCCCAGGTACGTCGGGCGGGAATTTTTGTGAGCAGCCATGCCAGGTGTTGACAATAGATTAACTTCACTGTTACATGGCAGTGCATACAAAAATAACGTCAATAATGTCCAATAATGGGGAACTGGTGGCGTAGCGGCGAGCGCACCGCTATATGAACTTGATCATCAGTTGACATCAGTGAAATATGAACAGATCTCAGGCCTCCCTCTTCACCAAACACTGGCACTGATCGGCATGGTGAGGTATAGTGAAACAATCACCATGACCGACAGAGCATGGGGATATCTTCGACCGCCAGTGGATTGATAAAGGTGGACTGTGAATTATTAATATTAAAGTTGAGTGCCAAAAATGCCCATTATTTTTGCCGCCAAATTGCGGCGGCAGAATTGAACCGTGAGGGGCTGACACTGAGGCCCTGTCTCTCTGTCTCTCTGTCTCTCTGTCTCTCTGTCTCTCTGTCTCTCTCTGTCTCTCTGTCTCTCTCTCGAGAGAGTGGCCCTGCCCTGCGGATTGCCCTGTCAATGTCCCCCAAGAAGAGAGGCGCACTGCCGACGGTACCTTCGCCTCCTCTTGGTTGTCCGTGGGCTCCTCTTTCTTGGTCATCCTCTCGAGCTTCTCCCGGGCCTCGTTGTCCTGCTCTGCTTTCTGAAAGAGAGCGCGGCGCCACCGTCAGAGACGCGGCAATGACCCCCCCCCGCCCCCCCCCCCCCCGATGTCACGTCACAGCTTAGCTTAGTCTGGCCTTCCGCGCTGTGGCGAGGGGGGGGAGCAGTATCGGATTATCCTAGGAGCAAAAGTAGCTACAATGTAATAGCTACTACATATGTAGCTACTAATGTAGTAGCTACATATGTAGCAGCTACTAATGTAGCTACTACTAACTGGCTGTATAGCAAATGAAAAAATACAATTACTTTAGCATGCAAGTAAACATTTTGTCTTTTGATATTTACGTGTTTTGATTATTATTATTATTTAGGGCCCCTTCATAACATCATGCTACAGGCCCCGCACTAGCTTAATCCGGCACTGGGGGAAGGGGAGGGGGGTGTTGTTCATTGCCGGCACCTCTACACAGCCGCGGCCGCTAGCGAGCCTCAAGTAACTACCGTGCCACACACGTGACGCGAGCACATATGCAGGAGATTGTGGCTTCGATCCCGACCCTGACGCCTGTATCTTTGTAATTTGCATTTTCTCTCTCCCTGTGGTCGTGTGGATTTTTCTCCGGGTCCTCCGGTTTTTTCCTTCACATTCAGAAACATGGATTTTACAGTATTTGGCCGCTATAAAGTCCCACGTGATAAGCCACTTTCGCTGAGCTATCATTTGTGGCCAGGTCGCTTTTGAAAAAGAGCTATATAGCTCAGTGTGCCTTACCTTAGCATTGTGAGTTGTGTGCTCTACCATAGTGCCGCTTGGCCGGAACAGATGTGCATAGCTGTGATCATACAGCTACCATACAGGCATAGTTATCTGCATGGGTAACCATGTCTCTCTCATTTGGTAAGGCATTTGAATAATTGGCAAAATATTGCAACTGTATGTTAGATTTGGGAATTAATTGAATGGCATCGGGATTTGCTAGATGTATGGCGGCAGGGTTTCGGGAGTGGAAACACTTGTGTCTCACAGCAAGAAGGCCCAAAGTTTAATTACTGATTCAGGTGCCTCTCTGTGTGGAGTTTGTAGGTCGTCTCACTATTCCACACTGTCACAAAAAGGCCACTTTTTAATTTTCCATCTTTGGAGGAAAGAGCCGCACCTGCCGTGTGTGCTTCGAACACAGCCCATCGTTGTCTCCTAGTACGCATGTTTGCTGAACTTCTTTCGCAGCTATCCGTGCTAATTGGAGGAAGCACAATAAACCAAGCTCAAAAAGCATTTCTTAAGAAAATGCTGCAATGGGTGCGCTTCGATGGACATCTCCCACTGGAATAGCCCCGTTTGTGCGATCGAGGCTCCCTGAACTGCGCGCTGACCACAAACCACGTGGGCCACACCGCGGTAAGTTCGACAACAACAACAACAGAAGCAAAGCGAACGCACGGCCACGCGTCGGAGCGTGGCCGGGAGAAAACGCGGCGACGACGCCCGCGCAGAAGAAAAAAAAGACACGAGGAATCATCGTCTCCGCAACGGGCACGCTCGCCCGCACGCACGCTGGGAGCGTCCGCGCCAAAGCCACCGCCGGCCCTGCGGCTGAGCCGTGCCACCAAAACCGCGCGTTGGGCGCTGCGGCGCCCCGGACGAACGGCAGAGCATCGCGCCACGAGACCGGCGGCGGCGCGGGTGTCTCAGTTGGCGCAGCGCCGGCAGTGACGTGCTCACGCCACAGGTGGCAGGAGGGCCTCCCGCAAGATCCATCTACAGAGTGTTGCGTTGGTTCTACTCTTCCAAGGTGGCCAGGCGTCCGGTAATACGTGGGAGTAAACCCACTCTTTAGCCCACCACACGCGACCTCTGCCGCTCGACTCGACTGCGGTGCATCCATTTATACTGCCGTGCGAACAGAGGTGGTGGGAGTAGCGAGAGGGATGGGTGGGAGTTGGGGGTGGGGGAGTGGTGATTTGAGACATTTGCACCGCCGCGTCGCCTTGGCAGCCGCGGCACCACGCCTCACCTTGTACGCGGCGGTAAACCTGACGAAGAAGGGGAAGAAGGTGGAGGGAGGCATGCTCTTGGTGGTCTCCCCGTAATATTGCACCACACTCGTGTACGCCTCCTGCAGACACGCGCCGTGCAAAACGTCGCGAGAGTCAATCGCGCCTTCATAGCTGGGAGAGTGCCTCTCTCTCACACACACACACATGCACGCAACTATCACTCTTCCGGCAAAGTGGCATTGGACGTTATTGACGCCGACATGAAAACGCTATACGGCGTGAAGGTGATGCGTTGGTTTTCGCGGGCCGATATTTGAGTCATAATTGCCTTATTTTTTTATCGCTCTACCTTCTCTGGCCTTCATTGTGCGCTGTAAAGACGGGGGGGGGGCATTGCCTGAAACGTTGCCCATCATACGTATAATAATAGGGGTTTTCCTATTTTTTCTGGCAACAAAACTGAAACCTTTTAACGAGGATTCATGTCTGCATTAACCACAATACCTGCAGTCAAAATGCAAACAAAAAAATACAATAATGATATATGCATATATTATCATATATTAGCATTTTGACTGCAGTTATTGTGGTTAATGCAGACATGAATCCTTGTAAAAAGGTTTCAGTTTTGTTGCCAGACAAAAGGGGAAAAACCCTATTATTACATTTTGGTACTGGCAAAGGAGGTCTAATGACATCATACGTATGTTTATTTATTTCTATGGAAGATTTTGCCGACGGGCGTGTGTTTTTTTTCTCGTTAATTGTGCTTGTGCCCCACTGCCGCAACAGCAGCAGCAGCAGTAGTTCCAGATTGTTCTTCTGACTTTTTGAGTGATTTTCTTACCTTTGCACTTTTATTGTTTTGTATTGTCTGTTGTTGTAAATTTCTGACCCCGTGCCCCTACTGGACATCTGTGAAAAAGAGCTTCATAGCTCATCGGATTCCTCTTACAGCATAAATCAAGGATCTGATTATGAAATCATCAGTTTAATTGATTTTGTGTTTTAGGTCACGTGATGATCTGACCAAATTTGTGTCGATACAACCCCCCACCATCTGACATGGCCAAACAAATTATTAATGGTAAATATATATTTCAATAAAACCCACTGGTACACGTGACAATTCGTTTGGTTGTGTCGGGTGGTGGAGGGTCTTAACAACACACATTTTGTCCGATCAATCTGTGGCCGAACCCCCCAAAAAATCTGTTATTCATCAGATATATGAGCAGTTCAATAACGGACCGTGCCCTCGCTCATTATGCATACAGGATGACCTGGCAGGCTTGCACTGAGCATAGGACTCACAACCGAAAGATGTGAAATGGGTTAACGTACTGCCCTCCGAACCCGAACACACAAGTTCGACTCCTGGCAAACTTGCTAACATCAGTGGCGAATCATATCAGAATGGGTACTGGGCCTCCTCTAAGTCGGCTCAGCCTCAAAATGAGTACCTGGCACCATCTGTAAACATCAGCAACGGGGAGGCAAATGTGACCGGGTGTGGAGCTATCCAGAGTACCAGGTCGTCTGCCATGCAGGCCCCAAGAGGAATCAGCTAGCAGCACTCGCTGCTAGCTGCGGAGGCTATACGGGTGCCTTAGTCATTTGTATCTCTGCGTGTCCGGTGATCTCCCCAGGCACCTGAGCAGTGATGGCATCGCCCTGAAGCTGCTCCAGCTTGTCCTTGTTGTGAGCCAGGAAGTCCTGCAAGGTGGCGTTGTCAGGCAGAGAGGCGAGCTCCTTATGGCTCAGCTCCATGCCCCGCTGCAACTCCTTAACGTCCGACAGTACGCTGTCCAAGGACACTGGAAGGTCGCACGCACGCCAGAAACAGCAACGCAACTCATTTGTAAGCGCTCGCGTCGTCGTGCGCCGTTTAATCTATATTAATGCCTCTTTTAAAAAAAAAATTAACAGCTTTTAATTTCTTTTTGAATAATTAACAGACTTTCACCCAAGTCGACGGACTTAAAATACGGATTGCCGGCCAAAATGTGCGAGGCCGAGCCCCCGGCTCCCGGCGGACGGAGCGGATTGGCACCGAGGGCTCATTCTCGTGATCGGTGGGCGCGCAAGACCTGCAGCTGCTTTGTCCAGGAACTGCAGCTCCGCGTGGAAGTTGCCCGCCTCCGGGTACTTGCTGTGGATGACCGACGCTAGGTAATGCAGGAGCGTTTGCTTCCGGTCCATCGACTTCGTCTCGTGCAGCTGCCGGAGAAACATTTCGCCACCGTCGTCATCATCATCATCAGCCAAGGTCAATCGACTGCTGCATGAATGCCTCCCTCCAAGATAGAAAGATTTATTCGGCAACAGCAAAACACACGGGAAGCGAACTTGTTGGTAAATTGGCCCTTGTTCAGAACGCAGAGCGTAAATCAGGGCCGTTATAACAATGAGCAATGCTGCCAATGACTAATGCTATAATGCTGCCAATGACTAATGTTATAATGCTGCCAATGACTAATGTTATAATGCTGCCAATGACTAATGTTATAATGCTGCCAATGACTAATGTTATAATGCTGCCAATGACTAATGTACAGCTGCTTTGTGAATCCACTACTTGGATGAATGCCTCCCCAAGGTGTGTTGGTCACGGGGTTTGTTTGGGTTGCGTGGAGGTGAAACCCCGGGACAGGATCAGATATAACTTCACCATTGACGTTAGCCATAGCCAGGAATCGATTTTGGATGGTCAGGTTCACAAGTGCGGTGCACGGACCGCTGTGCATGTGCTCCGTTAGCTAACACCGGTGGAAAGTGATATCCAAACCCAACCTGCCCAATCTCCCCCCCCCCTCTTCCCCTGCCATCACCACTTTCACCAACTCACGCTCACCAGCGTGGTGACATACGTTCAAACAACACCTCTTGCTGACCACGACGTAGGAGTGGCCTTCATCCAGCAGTGAATTGACAAGCATCGGTAAAACTACCTTCGACTGGTATACAGGAGGCCGTGGGTTCGATCCCAACCCTGACGCCTCTATGTTTGGAGTTTGCTTGTCTCTCCCCGTGGTCGCGTGGATTTTTTGCTCCGGGTCCTCCGGTTTTACCCTCCACATTAAAAATCAACATCACGCGTTTAGAGTTTTTGACCGCTGTAAATATTTGACTGCTATAAATGTCCACACGATAAGCCACTTTGTTGAGCTATCATGTGTAGCCAGGACGCTTCTGAGAAAGAGCTACGTATCTCAGTGGGCCTTACCAGGTAAAACATTTTTTTAAAAAAATAGTTCAGTTTATCGTTCAGATTGTTTCTATCCTATTTAAATTATTTAAATTATCATTCAGAGCTTACACACCACTGCGAGTGCATCCCCCTGGACCGTCGCGATTTTGAACGGAGGCAGCAAAAGAAGGCGAAGTTCTACAATCTCGCGCCACGACGCCCGTCCACGAGCGGACCGCACCGAGAGCACCGGCAACTTCGGCCGGCCTCTCGTCTCTGCCGTCCCTCATGCGCGGAAGCGGTGGCGGGGGGTGGGGAGGGGTCAGGCGAGCCATGCTGGGGGAGCTCACCAGGTCGAGGCTCTGCAGCTTGAAGCCGTACGCCGCCCCCCGCTTGCTGCTGTTCATGTAATTCCCAAACGCCAGGATGATCTGTCCATCCGAGCAACGCACACAAAGACAAAGTTGCCCCCGTGGGGCAAGAGCTGTTAGCGAGCGGCACCTATAAGGGCCAGTGAGGCACACGAGGGGGTTGGGTGGCCAGCACCAGTGGCGATGTTTACACACCGCTACGCCAGGTACTCAATTGATGCTGAGTCGACCTAGGGGAGGCCCAGAACCGGTTCAGATATTCGTCACCGGTGTTGCCCGTGAGCGGGAATCGAATTCGGGTCGCCGGGTTCGTAGCGCGCTACCCATTACACGACCGCTCTCCCCACACGCACGCACACAGACACACACGCACGCAGACACACACGCATGCACGCAGACACACACGCACGCACGCAGACACACACGCACGCAGACAAACACGCACGCAGACACACACGCACGCAGACACACACGCACGCAGACACACACGCACGCAGACACACGGGCACGCAGACACACACGCACGCAGACACATGCGCACGCAGACACACACGCACACAAACACACACACACAGACACGCAGACACGCACGCACGCACGCAGACACGCACACACACAGACACGCACGCACGCAGACACACACGCATGCACGCACACAGACACGCACACACACAGACACACACGCATGCAGACAAACACGCACACAGACACGCACGCAGACACACACACACGCACGCAGACACACACGCACGTGAGCTGCTCGCGAGAAGCCGCTTGATGGTGATCATCATCGTCATCATCGTCGTTATCGTCATCATCGTCGTCATCACTTATTCAACAGCTATGGGCACGGCGTGACACCTGAGCAGGACTGCCCGCGGTTACTCTCATTCATGGTAAACCCGACACGACTTGTCTTTTAGCCGTATATCTGCAAACATCTAGGGTGTCACTATTTCAACAACCGTACACGGGTTAAATCAAATAACAAAAGCAGCTCCTTTTTCGTGGCAAGCAAACGTCAAATAAAAGTTGGATCTAATTTTCACTTTATATTTATACATTGCGTCTATATATGTAAGTATTTGTGTTGACACTTACTATAGATGCCTCCGTGTAGCCTACATTGACTCATGGGGCAAGTGCTGTTATGGAGCAGATATTCAGGCCATCTCCCCGGTGCTCATGATTTCACACCACATTAAGTACTTATTTCACACTGAGTGGTTTTATAGTCGTCCCAGGGTCAAGCTTCAGATATCACTCACCACGGATGTTAGATGTGGTCAGGAATGGAAATCGAAAACGCTGGGTTTATAAAATAGTGTGTGTGAGTTTGTTGCATATACGCATATACATGCAAAGACAAAGATCCCCCATATCATCTTAGCACACTTTTGGGGCAAAAGCTTTTAGCGAGCACCCTATGAAGACTCGCATGGCACACGTGAGGATGGGTGACCAGCATCACGCCCGGCCGCCTTTGTCTCCCGAGTGGTAATAGCGCTAGGTACTCATTTGAGGCTGAGTCGACCTAGGGGAGGCCCAATACTGGTTCAGATAATCGTCAACCGGTGTTGGCCGTGAGCGGGAATCGAAGTCAAGTAGCCGGGTTGGTAGCCCAGCAACCGCTACACTACCGCTCCCCACACACACACACACATATATATACACACACACATATACACACACACAGACAAATGCGTACTTGTGCATGTGACATAAAACTACGTACCTCTAAAATCTTTTTCAACTTCAGTGACGACTTGAGGGAGCGCGACGCGGCAATGATGGAATTCACTTGCTGGAAGAAAAAAACTACAGTGAATAACCAATTCATAAAAAAACATCCGTAAAAGCAAACGAACAGATTCCTCAACTGATCTGTGTCTATGTTGTGTGTCTCTCTGTGTGTTTGTCTGTGTTGTCTCTCTCTCTGCTTGTGCGTCTGTCTGTGTGTCTCCGTGTCTGTGTTTTGTCCCTCTCTCAAATTTAGTTCTGCCAGATGACGGTTGCTTGTGTTGCAATCGAAACGTCGTACTCTATTATTTAATTTATTTTAGTTTTCTACGTGACTTTACCGAAAGAACCAAAGAGTAATTCCTGCAGTCGCGAAAGCTTAAAATCAAGTTTGATTTGAACATTCAACACATGCACGGTGCGGTGCCAATTATCCATCGGTTCTCCCGTGCCAATCATGTAACCTGCACATTCCTACGGTGAGGTTCCAGGTTCCCCCCCTACCCCCCCCCCCTCGCCGATGGCACGACCCATCGATGACTTTCCACAGAACGGTAAGCCAGTCGATGCGTACGGCTACGCGTGTTAACCGCGCGCGATCGATCTCCCGCTCCGGCGGGTTGCGACGATGATCGACGACCGGTCATGGCTTTTGCCAGGAGCGTCCCCTCGTCGAGACAGCCTCCACGCAGTCGTAGGAAAAGCTTCCCGGGACATGAAGAGCGTCGCGGATCGTGTCCGCTGTGTAACCAATACACCGCTGACGATGCCCGTATTGTTTCACGGCAAAATTGTGAAGACTGCGACTGTAGAAACGAAGGCCAATTTTCAACTAAAACTCCAGCAGGCACTGACTCAGAGGCCATCGCGAGAGATGATTCAATCAGGAAGCGCAATCTCAACAAGTAGGGCATCGCTCCCCCAGACTTTTAGTGGGGGGGGGGGGGGAGTGAGGGGGGTAGGGGTCCACAGGCTACAGCATCGAAACGTTGCGGTGACAAAAGACGCTCATACAAAACGTGCACAAAAACGCGACCTCTGCACGGTGCTGTTCGTCATCTGGGGAACAGAGGAGGAGGAGGGGGGGCGAGGGGGGGCAGAGGTTGGGGGGGGTTAGGGTGGGGTGAGTGTGGCAACAAGTGGGCTTCATTAGGGGTGGTGGGGGGGGGGGTAGTGGCGGCCGCCGTACCACAAATGTTAAAATTCACACGAAAAATGTGAACGTTTTAGTTGTATGTAGCGTTGTTCACGTGGGGCGAGGAAGTTGACATCTCGCCAGCGTGGCATCGGCCTAGGCGGAGGGGGGGGGGGGCAAGGAAGCACGCCAGTGCCCACAGGGGGGTGGGGGGGGGCACCGCCTATCGTGTCGCGGCGAGAACACGCGGGGCGCGACGTGGAAGCCGTCCGGGGGGCCCCCACCGGCGTGAGACGCTGCACGCTCTCCTCGAAGTTGCCCATGAACACGAGCACGGAGAGCCGCTGCGGCAGGCGCGGCACGGCGCTCAGTCGCAGCATGAAGCGGTCCACCTCGGCCAGCTCGGACAGCGGCTTCCCGTCGCGCTCGTACTGCTGCATGCGCAGCACCTCCGCCTCCGAGGGCAGCTGCCGCGTCAGGCACTCGACGAAGTCCAGCGAGAGGCGCGACACCTCGAAGCTGCGTCGCGCGGACACACGCCGAAAAACGAGCGATCGTTCCAGGGTGCGGCAGGTTTCCCGGATTGCGGGAATTCGAAGCCGGGTGAAAGAGCGTCTACTGTGTGAAGTGCTGTGAAGATCCACCAGAAGTCACACGCGAGCCAGAGGGTGGCTGGGTGGCTCGGAGACCAGAGTTCTGAGCTGACACCGCTGAGATCCGGAGTTTGAACTGCGCGACCATCTGTGATTAGGGTTGTGATCTACGCTTAAGTGTAGAGAGTTGAATGTCTCTCAGCCTGGTCACCAATGGCATTTTCCTAAATAAAATTTCTTTAAAAAAAAAACCTTCTTCAAAGAAGAAGGTTCACGTCCAAAACGTCACCCAATATAATTGTTTTCCTTTCAAGGCGACAGTGTTGCGAACCAATGTGATTAGCATTGCTGCTGTTTGTGCTCGCACACCACTGCCAGCGCAGGATCATCGTACAAATCAGAAAAATAAAAAATATATATATACCTTCTCATATTTTTCAATTTTTAGAGCGCCTTTATTTTAATTCGACTCTCGTCTGGAAAGTGCTGTCCCACACCACGTGGACCTAAGATCACTTTCTCAGAGCTCAGAGGTGGCTCTGCGATATTCGCTTCCGTGGGCCATCCCCAACAGGATTGGTTCACACCGCCCTGCGACAGATTAAAATCGATCCTCCACCCATAGCACGAGGAGACAATTGGGTTAAAGGACAACGACGACACAATCACACGTGACCTAAACTGCCACAGGTGGTGGTTCCCTTCTCTCGTCCCGAACTGTGCGTAGCCGTGTGAGCGTACATGCGTATGTATGTTTGTGGGGAGAGGTCGTGTAGCGGTGAGCACGCTGCGCTAACGAACCTGGTGACCCGAGTTCGATTCCTGCTGACGGCCAACTCCGGTAACGATTATCTGAACCCAGTCCTGGGCCTCCCCTATGTCGACTCAGCCTCAAATGAGGACCTTGGTGCAGTGTGTAAAAACATCGCCATTGGGGAGACAAAGGCGGTCGGGCGTGGTGCTGGCCACCCACCCCCTCGTGTACCGTGCCGGCCTTCATAGGTGCAGCTCGCAAACGGCACTTGCCCCATCAGTTTGTTAAGGCTATACGGGGGATCTTTTTCTTTTGTGTTTGTATGTATGTATGCACTCACGATAACACGTCTTCAGACTTACTGACTTACGTCCACCGCGCAAAACATGAAATCAGCACGTGTACAGGTGCTAGATAGTTACATGTTAGGATGACGAGAGATTGGGGAGGCCTTTACCCAGCTGTGGATTAATCACGGATTAATCCCACGGTGGAAATGTATGTGCGTACGTATGTACTTAGCCAACCGTGCTAATCGGAGGGGGCGGATTGAGGTAACATACTCCGTTGCGGGTAAAAAAGATGCAGTTTAGTTTTTTGTCGGGGCAATATTGCAGGCTTCTCAGCACTGCAATGATCTTCTTTGGTTCTTTCGGTAAAGTGACGTAGAATGAGAATAAGAGCTCTGTCGTCCCGACAGGTTTGTTCCTTTCACCTGAAGAAGGCCACTTGTGTTGTGGCCGAAACGTCGTGAGAATTTTATTGCTTTATTTTATTATGTTATTCTCATTCTACGTGACTTTACCGAAAGAACCAAAGAAGATGAATCCTTGCAGTCACGAAAGCTTTAAATCGAAATACTGCAATGATGTTAATTCCTTCTGCAACCATTACGTTGTCAGAACGCGCAGTACTTTTCGAAACGCGAGCGCGCTGCTTTGGGGGGGGGGGGGGCGGGGGGGGTTGTGGGTATGTACATATACGTCGAACTTCTTTCGCGCCGTACGTAGCCAACCGTGCGAATCGGAGGTGCGCGCGTGTGCGGTGTGCGGCGACACCCCCCACACACCCCCTCCCCCCTACCCTTCGATGGCCGTGAGGATGTCCTCGGTGGGCATCCCCGCACGGCGCAGCGTGATGGACACGTTGCGGGCGCGGTTCGCCTCCATGAAGCTGACGCTTGAGCTGGGGGCCTTGGCCACGGGCTTGGCGCGGCCGGCCGAGCCGCCGCCGCCGCCGGCCGCCGCGCTCGGGCCGCCGCCCTGCGCCTTCGTCTTGAACAGCTCCTCGAACTCGCCCACGTTCAGCTCCTGAGAGCGAGCCACGTGGGGGAGGGGGGGGTGGTGAGGGAGGCAATTTGACGCCTCTTTGCCTGCAATGTGGCGGCGCCTCGTTAGCGTCGGAAATTGCGAATTTTGAATTTCACCGCTGCGGATGTTCATCTGCGAATGTTTCACTTTGCACTTTTATAAATATAAAAACAAAAAAAACTTTACACCTTTGTCATTGATACTGCCTAGGGACAGAGAAAAAATACACATTAGGCTACATCCATGATGTCATGCCCATTATGCCATCCCTTCAGGGGAGAGCAGCGCAATTGACTAAAACACGAGGAAGCTGACGAGATCTTTTCGTTTGTGCACCCACTGCCAGCGCAGTCTGCGTGCGTTTATTTATTTCAAGCCATTTGCACCGAGAGCTCTGAGGCCACGGCCGTCAGTCAGCCTGCCTGCCGGGGTTAGAATCGCTCATCGCATAACCACCCTGGCTTGCCCCCTGCCGGCCTGGCACCGGCAAGGAATGAACGAGGCGTCGGGCGCCCACACTCAGACGTGGCAGGGAGAGACGTGGCAGGGAGAGACGGGGCAGGGTGCCCACACTCACACGGGGCAGGGAGAGACGGGGCATGGTGCCAACACACTCACACGTGGCAGGGAGAGACGGGGCATGGTGCCCACACACTCACACGTGGCAGGGAGAGACGGGGCAGGGTGCCCACACTCACCCCGAGCACCTTCTCGTCCTCGAGCTCGTGGAAGATGGTGCCGTCTACTTGGCTACTCTGCAGAGCCACCCAGTTGAAGGCCTGCATGCGCATCTTGGTGACGATGGGCTTTTTCATCTTGTATCCTGCGACCGCAGCGAAAATAATATATAAATTAAGGAACTTGCCATGGGAGTGGTGGATCTATAAGTCGTCTGCCAAGTGGCAGATGTTTGGCCCTATCTTCCGTCATCTTGTCTGATCCTTTTTCGTTTCAATAAACGGACCACCTTTTACTGCAAGTCGTCGAGAAGAACGGAAACGTTTCTGCTCCTTGGCCCTTTTTTTTGCCCAACATCACGAATCTTTCCAGAACTTCACGAAGCGTCCACCTCTGAGAATGTGCTCAATCAAAGACGCCGCCTAATAGCAGAACATTACGAAGGGGGATAAGAATGTCTGCGGTGGCCCTTCTGCAGAGCGCATGTGTGCGGAATGATATTCATCTGAGAACGCGTCAAAACCGTACGTCGAAACCGGTCCATAGCTTGGCTTGTGTTTGAATCAATGCCGCTGAAACTTCACTGTGCAGCTGATGGGTTGTGAAATATATATATATTTTTTTAGTTTTACGTGTAGAGACGGGAATGTCAGGAAGACAAGTTGTCTTGTTCTTTATTTTGATATTAGTATTCTCCACAACGACGCGAACGATTATTTTTTTAAAAAGAAAGGTTATTCCTTCCTAACCGTTCAACCGATGGTATTATATTTTAGTGCGTTTAACGACCACGTTAACGGTGACGGTTGATATAATGTATTTATTTATTATTTGGCACCAGATCCACCCCCGCCGCCCCCTTCCTACAGGTGACGCGACCCGAACGTCACCGTCGGCTTTTGGTTCATCAACAATTCAGTCGTGTAGATTTTTTTTGAAAAAAAAAACTGACTTCAAAAACTAAATCAACGTGCCCTATCCCTCGCGTGTATTTAGACAGACGAGCTTTAGCCCTCATGACATGAGACGGTATCAATTCGAGAATGAATAATTTCAGCGGGTCGGATTAGCCCAAAAAAAAAACGTCACTGTGTAAGTATCAGGTGTGACTACATCGGCTCCTTCGGAGGTAGTCGGTGTTTCATTACGCAGGAGACATTATTTAAATTGTGCGGTGCATTGTTGCGGCTAATTGGTGGGTATGGCTCTCCTTTATTCCATCTCCTGAGTTCAATTAATCTTCACCAGCTCGATCAAGCGGCAAGGGGGACACGGATGGAGCCAGCGTGATTGTTTCAGTCTTACTGTTGTGACCGTTAATATCAAAGGGCATCGATAAGTCAATGGGCTGGAGCAGAAATTTGTCACACCTAATGGAGCAAAATTTTGATCGTAACCGATTGATTTAAACTAAAATACCCCCCCCCCCTCCGCCTCAAATCACTGCACCTGAAATGAGTTAAATGATGACGTCACCGTGCTGCTCTATTTAAGACCGGGAGCAAGCGAGGGCTTTACCATTCTGGCGAATTGCCCGATGATGCTGGATGTAATTACCAGCGAAACGTCGTACTCAAACTGTAAATGTTGTGGATTCACTCTTCAACACACCGGTGGGCTAAAGTAGTCAATTATTTGTCTTTTGTCAACGTGACACTTTTTTTGCTGATTGGCCATGTCGGGTGGTGGAGGGTTACGACACATTTATAAATAACGCGATCTAACCCAAAAACCTTTATTATGAATACAACTTTTTTTATTTTACTACGTAAGGCCCACTGAACTATATCTATCTCGTTTTTCAGAAGCAAGCTCGCCACAAATGATAGCTCGACTAAGTGGTTTATAGTAATAGTGAAGTGGTTTATCGTGTGGAAATGCATTGCAGTCAAATTCTTCAAATGCATGTTTCTAAACGTGGAGGGAAAAACCGGAGGAACCGGCGAAAATTCCACACGACCACGGGGAGAACATAACATCCACACTCCAAATATACAGGCGTCAGGGTCGGGATCGAACCTATCATCTCCTGCATGCCAGACGAGGTAGTTAACATCTCGCCACCGGCCATTAGGAGTGCATTACTTGATAACCCTTCTCGCTTCAAATGGTTGTCCCGTAATTCGCTGTTGCTGCCAATATAATGAAATTGTAACTCGCTAGAGCTATGCCGCCTCAGGTGGTACCGACAAGTGAAGTGTCTGGGCACATGGACAAAACTACTCAGACTCCCGGCCACACGTCTCCAGATGACGAACGTGAAGCCTGCCAACACTTGCCACGGAAATACATTTATGGATAGCTTGCGTAACCCAGAAACTACCACGTCTCCAAAATGTATATGCATATTAGCTTCATTTATTATTTTTCCAGACAATGTATGGACATTAAGAGAGACACTACACTGCAATTGAAATAATATTATTTACCCAACAAGGCTTCACTGAGTGAATACTCTTTTTTAAAAAGGGTTCTGCACTAGGCTCTTTGGGAGGTAACAACGGTGCCTGGAGGAAACCCATGGATACGAAGGCACAACACTGAAACAGTCATACGTGCAGATCAGCAACCGCCTTGCTGTACTGCTATCTACTGGAAATATTTTGCAGACCTGCAGACAAGGTGGTAAGTGCGTTGTGCCTACTTTGATCACTGAACGATCCAGCAAACCGACTTTTGACTGATGACTCACTACATTTTGGAGTGACGGTTTAACCCAGGTATTGGTTTGTTGTTTTTACAATGTGGTGAATGCAGAAACTCCAGTGCCTTGCAGGAGTCACGTGAACCAATTACATACAACGGACACAAAATTGAATTGAATCCAACCAACTGTCACGCACACGATTCGACGCGTGTATTGGGAACAGAAAGAATAAAAATAACAACACAACCATTATAGTACAGAGGGCTTCACAGCAGCTGGAGCTATCCGGGGCTGATACTGGAGGTGGGGGGGGGGGTGGTAGCCCCCAGCAAATATTCCACAACAAAATAAATGGTGAACGTGAGAATCGATTTTAATTGATTAAGCGGCGCATCACTAATTGGTGATTTCTGAAGGTGTGCCCCCCCCCCCCCCCTCCAGGTCGGGTACACAGAGCGGAGGTCGCGGGTGCGCTGATTGGCCGGCGTTGGGGGCGATTTTCTGACCTGCAGCAGCGTTGCCTGTTCCCTGTGGCAGAGCTCCGCCTGGTGGAGGCGGCGGCGGCGGCGGAGGGGGAATGCTGCCGCCTGGTGGAGGAGGCGGAGGAGGAGGTGGAGGAATGCCTTGTCCCGATGGAGGAGGTGGGGGCGGTGGAGGAGGAGGAGGTGGCGGTGGGGGTGCCACAGACCCTCCTGGGAGAGGTGGTGCTGGAGGTGCAGGAGGAGGCGCCACTGGGCGACACAATGGAGGAGCATGCGGGCCTCCTTGAGGACGTGGAGGTGATTCATCTGCGACAGATGGCCGACCGGGTTCAAGCAGAGAAAATAAAACCACAGCACAGCGGGGATGTGCAGGACAATACGATCACCCGCAGCAATCTCGTGAATCATGCCTATCAATATTGAAACAATGGTGTACAATCTTATAATTTCTTAAGTGGAATTGTATCGCGATCGTCCCGTTGTCAGTCGGTCGATCGCAGTGTAGTCATTGATCTGCATCTACATCGGCAGCCAAAACGACGGAAGAACGTTATGGTGGGCTCGCACACGAGCCCAAAACTACCTTCTGGGTGAGAGTTCGAGAGCTCTTGGTCCACCAGAGAGCAGGTGAGGTGGGGCAGTCCCGGCTGGGTGCCACCTCCCGTGCCCCCCGTTGAGTCTGACGCGGGTAGTGACTTCTCGTCTGCGTTTCTGGCGGCCGGGACCACCACCATCTGGGCCTGCAACTTCTGGCTTCGCGACACCTCCAGCTGCAGGGTCGTGTCTTTCAGAAGGCTCTCCAGCTCATGGATGCGGCTGCTGGCATCCCTGTACAGCCCCTTCCGACCGACCGACCGACGCATTCACAGTGAGATTCCAAATTTCAACCAACGCACGATATAGGGCCCAAGATTACCCTTTGTCCAGGGGAGATCATCATGAAATTATATGAACGTACGTTGAACTTCTTTAGCACCGTGCGTAGCCAACCGTATTCATCGGGGGAATTCAAAAGTACTTTCGAAACGAGTTGCACCTTTTCCTAATACCTAAAGGGGTGGATTTATGCATTTCACAAAATTGGGCATAGAGTGAGACCTATGCACCCGATCTAATAACAACTCGCAATCTAAGCAGGCTTGAGCCTTGAAGGTGCCTGGATGGGCAATCACCACTAACAGCCTGTCATAGGCCTGCGGGGCTACGTGGTGGGCAGGAGAGGGCGATGCAGCAAAATCAACAGCTGTACCTTACTTCTATACCCCTACAGTTGTGCCAGCCGCCTTCACCGACTCGCACCCTTCAACGTGGTGAAACTTGGTCCAACACAGATACAGGGGCCACAAAGGCAGGATGGGGAGGCCCTCGTACGGCAGCAGATTCACGAAGGCGCTGCCGCTGTTAGCCATCACCATCGCCGCGAGCCGAGGCGGGCGCCGTATTTTGGCTCACCTCGATGCTATTAAGCGCGCTGGCACCGTGCATCAGCTGTTTCTCCAGCTCTGCTATCCTGGCCATAGCCTCGAGCTCCTTCTCCTCCATGTGCCGCGTCACCTGCGGCGCAAACGTCACAATGGCGGGGGGGGGGGGGGAGCTCAGTCGGTCGGATCCTCGCTGCGGTACACCCGGTGGGGAGAATGGCGAGTGAACGGCGAGTGAATGATGGGTGAGTGGCGAGTGAAGGGCGAGTGAACGATGGGTGAATGGCAGGTAAACGGCGAGTGAACGGCGAGTGAACGGCGGGTGAACGGCAGGTGAACGGCGAGTGAACGGCGAGTGAACGGCAGGCAAGCGGCAGGTGAATGGCGAGTGAACGGCGAGTGAATGGCGGGCGAGTGGCGGGTGAACGGCGGGCGAACGGCAGGCGAACGGCAGGTGAACAACTGAGCGTGGCGTACGCTGGCGATCTGGTCCTCCAGGCTGTCCACGTGCTCCAGGGCGGCGGTGCGTGTCTCGGCGTCCTCCAGCAGGGCGCCCACGTCGAACACGTTGTCCAGGTACGCTTGGATCTGCATCAGCAGCCGCTCGCTCTCCGTCTCCTTCAGGCTCTGCGGGGTGCACGCCGGGCACACGCGGCGATCGTGAGCTCGGTGCGACACGCGGCGATCGTGAGCGCCACGCGACATCCGGTCCACGCCCGGGGGAAACGGCCGCGTTCAACTAAATTCTAAATTGAGAGCAGCCAAACACTCTGAAGGCGTCGATGTTGAGTCTAAATGTGGAGGAACAAACCGGAGGACCCAGAGAAAAATCCACGGAGAGAACACAGAAACTCCAAATATACAGGGGTTAAGATCGAATCCGCGACCTCCTGTATACCAGGCGAGGTAGTTAACATCTCGCAACCATGGCGCATAAGACGGTGAGGCTCTCGACGTGTTCAATGTTGTTCACAGCGACGAGCAGCTTGGAGGGTGGGCGGCGGGGGAGGTCGAGGGGTCACGCCCGCGGGAAACCTCAAAATGAGAATCATAATATTTATGTCTTCATACTGGAGGAATCCGATGAGCTACACAGCTTTCTTTTTCACGGGTGTCCACTAGACCTGCCTCGAGGACGCCGTCCAGGCCCAGCTCGGTGAACTCGTACTGCAGGTGGACGCGCAGGTTCATGTCCTCCACGGAGTGCACCACGATGTTGATGAACTGCATGCAGGCCACCTGGCGGCAGGAGGAGGAGGCACCATCCATCACTCGCACACTAAAACGCGGGCGCGCACACACAGCAGCACTCCGGAGTGTGTCCCCACGTATAAACTATTTTAAACTGCCAACTATTTTGGTTTTTTTACACAGGTATTGCCCGCTGAGCTACGTAGCTGTTTTTTTCAGAAGCACGCAAATGATAGCGCAACGAATTGGCTTATCGCGTGGAATTTATATGAGCCAAATACTCTAAACCAGTGGTTCTTAACGTGGGGTGCATGCATCCCCTGGAGATGCGAGATGCCCTTTCTGGAGGTGCGAGACATGGCCAGATCTTTTTAGAAGGGTCATCATCGAACACACAAATTATGCGCTGGTACGTAAGTGCAACCACGTTGTTTCATCAAATCCTCTATGTATTTATTAACATAATAAAACAAATTACGATTGAGAACCAAAGGTGTGCAAGGCTGCAGTAAATATTAAGAACCACTGCTCTAGACGCGTGGATGTTGATTCTGAGTGTGGAGGCAAAAATCCGGAGGACCCGTAGAAAAATCCACGTAATCACGGGGAGAGCATGCAAACTCCAAATATACAAGCGTCAGGGTCGGGATCGAACCCATGGCCCCCTGTGTACAAGGCCAAGGTAGTTAACATTTCCCCACAGGTGGCGCCGTATAGGTACAGGGGAGGGCTCAGTCCGTCTGCCTGTTGGCCTTCCACACCGATGCCGTCACCCCGGCATTTTGTTCAAGCGAGCAAAAATCACTGAGGTGGTCACAACCTGCCGGGTCTCGTCGGCCGAGTCAGCCGCGTTAAACGGACGCTGCCGGATTAGCGGACGTTGCTGGCGAGGGAACTCCGTGCGCTCGCAAACAGCTGAATAGAAATGCTTTGACCGGGAATGTTCTCGGTACAAGAAGCCTGGGAAGACAACGATTTTGTATACGTAGCAATTGTGAGCGAACGGATGCGACTGGCAGGCATATTCGATGCAAAGTGCTTGAGTAGATATCGTGGACAGAGATGAATAGAAGGGTCATGATCATCGACGTCTTTGAAAAAGGGCATTGCATATACAGTGAGGGAAAAAAGTATTTGATCCCCTGCTGATTTTGTACGTTTGCCCACTGACAAAGAAATGATCAGTCTATAATTTTAATGGTAGGTTTATTTGAACAGTGAGAGACAGAATAACAACAATAAAATCCAGAAAAACGCATGTCAAAAATGTTATAAATTGATTTTCATTTTAATGAGGAAAATAAGTATTTGAAGGAAGATTTCTGGCTCCCAGGTGTATTTTATACAGGTAACGAGCTGAGATTAGGAGCACACTCTTAAAAGGAGTGCTCCTAATCTCAGCTTGTTACCTGTATAAAAGACACCTGTCCACAGAAGCAATCAATCAATCAGATTCCAAACTCTCCACCATGGCCAAGACCAAAGAGCACTCCAAGGATGTCAGAGACAAAATTGTAGACCTACACAAGGCTGGAATAGGCTACAAGACCATTGCCAAGCAGCTTGATGAGAAGGTGACAACAGTTGGTGCGATTATTCGCAAATGGAAGAAACACAAAAGAACTGTCAATCTCCCTCGGCCTGGGCCTCCATGCAAGATCTTACCTCGTGGAGTTCCAATGATCATGAGAACGGTGAGGAATCAGCCCAGAACTACACGGGAGGATCTTGTCAATGATCTCAAGGCAGCTGGGACCATAGTCACCAAGAAAACAATTGATTTCACACTACGCCGTGAAATACTGAAATCCTGCAGCGCCCGCAAGGTCCCCCTGCTCAAGAAAGCACATATACATGCCAAGTCTGAAGTTTGCCAATGAACATCTGAATGATTCAGAGGATAACTGTGTGAAAGTGTTGTGGTCAGATGAGACCAAAATGGAGCTCTTTGGCATCAACTCAACTCGCTGTGTTTGGAGGAGGAGGAATGCTGCCTATGACCCCAAGAACACCATCCCCACCGTCAAACATGGAGGTGGAAACATTATGCTTTGGGGGTGTTTTTCTGCTAAGGGGACAGGACAACTTCACCGCATCAAAGGGACGATGGACGGGGCCATGTACCGTCAAATCTTGGGTGAGAACCTCCTTCCCTCAGCCAGGGCATTGAAAATGGGTCGTGGATGAGTATTCCAGCATGACAATGACCCAAAACACACGGCCAAGGCAACAAAGGAGTGGCTCAACACGAAGCACATTAAGGTCCTGGAGTGGCCTAGCCAGTCTCCAGACCTTAATCCCATAGAAAATCTGTGGAGGGAGCTGAAGGTTCGAGTTGCCAAACGTCAGCCTCGAAACCTTAATGACTTGGAGAAGATCTGCAAAGAGGAGTGGGACAAAATCCCTCCTGAGATGTGTGCAAACCTGGTGGCCAACTACAAGAAACGTCTGACCTCTGTGATTGCCAACAAGGGTTTTGCCACCAAGTACTAAGTCATGTTTTGCAGAGGGGTCAAATACTTATTTCCCTCATTAAAATGCCAATCAATTTATAACATTTTTGACATGCGTTTTTCTGGATTTTATTGTTGTTATTCTGTCTCTCACTGTTCAAATAAACCTACCATTAAAATTATAGACTGATCATTTCTTTGTCAGTGGGCAAACGTACAAAATCAGCAGGGGATCAAATACCTTTTTTCCCTCACTGTAAAGAGAAAGAGAGAGAGATGTTTATCGCCAAAATACAGCGTCAATGAATTAGAAGGGATGGGACATTGACTTTTTTTTATTAGATTCGCAGCGAAGATTTTACCATGAAATCAATGTTGTTGTCCTCCGTTCCAAAGTATTCCATGAGCCTCTCGAAGCGATTCTTCTCTCCACACGACTGTTTAGAAAATACACAATCGTCATCATCGCCATTATCACCGTCACCGTCATCACCACCATCATCGTAATCATCATCACTATTATCCACCGCTCTTGAAGCATTTACGTTTGTACAAAAGCCATGGCCTGCCGCGATCATCATCATAATGAAAAGCAGTTGAATAGTTTGTACGTACGTTGAACATCTTGGCACCGTGCGAAGCCAAGCGGGAAAACGCGAGATGCGGGGGAAGGACAACAAACTGAACACAAAACGGAGTTCTAAGTCAATGAGTTTTCGATCTAAATTTAAAAGTGCAAAGCTCCGGTGGCTTCCTAATATAGGAAGGAAGAGCGTTCCAGACGGCCACAGGGGCGCCGATCCTCAGCCTGCCTCTCAAAGGCTCCTCGCTGCTTCCTTCACCTCCTTGAAGTTGCTGAAGGCGGCGAGGATCTTGCTGTGACCTCCCAGGACGAGGCAGACAGCCGCCAGGAGCTCCAGCACCAGGGCCTTCGTCCTGCGGGGTGACAGCGCCGACAGCTCCAGAGAGAGTGGGGCACGAGGGGACTGATGCACACCCAGCCGCTGCCTCTCGATGTTCACCGATTGTTGTTCCGCGACTGCTTCTTTCAGTGCTCGGCTACGGTTTGTGAATGTGGTCGCGTAACCGTTTTGAGTCTGCACCGAGGGGTGGGTGAATCGTAGCCGAAGCTCGCGGAAGATCAACGCGCCTGGGACGGGAGCGGCGTCTGCCTTTGCTGAAGCAAGGCAAGCTGCTGCATATTCTTCGGGTTTTTCGGTAAAGTCACGAGGATAGGTTCAAAGAGAATAACCAAAAAAACTACGACGTTTCGATCGCAACACAAGCTTGTGTTGCGATTAAAGCGTCATAGTTTTTTTTGTTATTTTCTTTGTTATTTTCTTTGAACCTATCTACGTGACTTTACCGAAAGATCCAAGGAATATGAATTCCTGCAGTCAGAGAGAGCTTCAAGTCAAGATTTAAGCTGCTGCAGTTAAACTCGGTTGCGTCACGCAAACAACAGCTGAACTATCACATGCGACCACTTTCATCGCGCGTGATAATTCATCGTCAGCAGCAGTGGGTTCAGATTAAAACAAATGTTGAGAACGCCACGACATGGCATGATCACGTATGTATGCACGTATGTTGAACTTCTTTCGCGTCGTACGTAGCCAACCTTGCTAATTGGAGGTGCGGGGGAAAGACAACAAACGAAACACAAAAAGCAGTTACATGGAAATGGCTTTTCTATTTAGTTTGAAAGTGCATAGCCCCAGTGGTTTCCTAATATCGGAAGAGCATTCCAGATGGCTTGCACAAGCGCTGATAAAGCCTAGACAGTAGCGCGGCATCGTGAGGCCTTAAAGAAAAACGAGCCGTCTGCCGTCTGTCACACAATCATGATGCGGTGATATGAAACTCTTAAGAGCAAAGTTTTTGTTTACGTGAGTTGCGTTTTTTTCTCTTCTTCCCAGTCGGCCGCTGCCAACGAAGGCTGCAAGACAAACGCGCGCGGCCGGCTGCCGAGTTGTGTTTGGCAGCCAAGAGGTTATCTTTGGGTTTTAAAAACAAAACTAAATCGAAGCACATCACCGGTGGTGCGAGTCCGCTCCTCACCTGGGACTCCTGTTGTTGAGGCTCAGCGTGATCTCGTTGACACAGCTTGGGTGCGACATCACCAGGTTGAAGCCAGACTGCAAATAATCGAAAACAAAGTCAGTCAACTCGCTGACCGTGTTTTGGGACTTGGGCGCAAATTGTTAGGGGGCGGGGGGGGGGTGGTGGGGATAAATAATCAGTGGTAATTGGATCTGACAGCTCATTAAGATGACCTCTGTGAATAAGCAAAGTATCTCAAATAAATCACACTATGGACATATTTTCCAGAAAGTGTCACAATGCGAATGTGGATTTTTGTTTTGTTTTACCTACCACTGTCTCAGAGCTACCGGCGAAGATGAAAGCCACCCCCATACACATTTGGCCAGGGAGAATAACATATATATTAACTTTTTGTACATATAAAAGATACGCAGTTGACATCATTTGACAGATTTTGTGATAATTGTCAGCCCTTTTGTCAATCCACCGCTGAATAAATGTCTCCCCCATGCCTTTCAGCCACGGGGTTTGCTTGAACATTCTTCGCGAATTCAGAAGCTTTATTTATCCAGGAGAAATCCGATGAGCTATGAAACTCTTTTTCACACATGTCCAGTACTCCACACCAATGGCCAATGCAAGATGGTTGCAGGGGTAGGGTCCAACACCGGTTCAGACATCGCTCGCCGCTCACGTTAGCCGTGGCCAGGAATCAAACTTGGGTCTCTGAGTCCGTAGCGCAGTGAGCGAACCACGGCGTCGACACTCCACCCCTAATGTGACGGGATAGTCAAGCTTTCGCGCAAAAGGCGGTTCTCACCAACACGTGATGCTTTGGTGTTTTCTGCTTTTCGGTGGAACATTTGTTCTTACCAACCTATGAATCGGGCCCTTAAGTGTTTTGCAAGGGGGGTGCGTGTCGTGATGGAGCGAGCACCTGTGCTTGGGGTGGGCCCCAGCACTTGCCTGGTAGTTCATGATGGCACGCAGGCACATGATGCACACGTGGACGTCATCCTGGCTCACGGCCTTTTGGTTGCGGAAGGTCCACCGGCGGTTGAGCGTGTTGTGCCTGGCGGTGAGAGTTGCAAGTCAATCACAGCAAGCTGCACGTTGCGCGTGCAAAGGCGGCGGGGGTGGTGGTGGGGGAGGGGGGGTGATGAGTCGTCACTGTATTCCCTGCGGCACCGTCCTAGGTGCTCTGTTATTCTTAACCGTGACTTTAATGCCACTGGAGTCACGCATGTTCAGCACCCTGGTACAGAATCAAGAGTTTGTTTTTTATTTATCTTGGTGAAATACCATGAGCTTTTTCACAGATGTCCAGTAGGGGCCGGTCAGAAAGTTACAACAACAATACAAAAACACGATAGCTACTTACAACCCTGGCCCCAACTTAAAAAAAAACTTACAGATGCAAGGCTACATCCCATTGTTCTCATCTCCTGTTTGGTCACCAGGAGGCAACGGTGGATGAAAACTCCAAATGTGTAAGCATGCATTTCTGTAAAGCTGTGTGTGCCTGTGTGTTCGCGAGCTTGTGAGGAGCGGTAGTGTAGTGGTTAGCGCGCTGCACCACAAACTCAGCAACCTGAGTTCGAACCCCGCTCACGGTCAACAGCGACGATTATTTGAACCAGACGTGGGCCTCCCAAAGGTTGACTCAGCCTCAAATGAGTGCCTGGTGCGATCTGTAAACATCACCATTTTGGAGCCAAAGGTGCTGGCCACCCACCCCCTCGTGTGCCGTGCCGGCTTATGTAGGGGATATATTTGTCTTCTGTATGCTTCGCTCAAGTCTGTCGACAGGAATCATGACTGACAAACGTGGATAAATCCGCTCAGATCAGGGACAGGTCACATAACAACCCGAGGTATGTGCTTTGTCGGTCAATCACTGTTTTTCAAAGTACACTTCTCAACAAATCATCTACAGCGTAGACTGAGAACTCCACCGGCTCTACGCCACTGCCTGCACGAACACACCAAAGTTTCTCAGGGTAAAAACAAATAATTACCAGCAATAACTGCCAGCGATGACTGCCCTAAAATAGGCCTCGTTGGCCCTCGCCGTAAGATCGTGCTACGTTGTGAGTAACCCGCACTCAGTCCCGGCTCATCCACCGCAGCGAGCAGCGAGAGGCTTGCTACCGGTTGCAGTTTGGCATCCCGAGATAATTAACCGACGTCGCAGCACACGGACGTCAGTTCTGGCGAGACAACGCGAGCCAGGCGCCCTACTGGGTCCGAGCCCCGGTGCCAGTGTCAGCGCTCTCGCGGCCTCTCCGCGGGGTGACCGCAGTACCGCAGCAGCAGTTGCTTGGCCGCGCGGGACACGCTGCTGGCGGCGGAGGTGAGGCCGCCGCCGCTGGATTCGTGCTCCGCGTCCTCGTCGACGGCGCCGTCCAGCGACTTCTGCCTCTCGGCCATCGACGGCGTCGCGCCGCTGTCCGTGGTGGCCGCGGCGGCATCGTCGTAGCTACAAAATGTTGGAACGACGAGAGAGGCGGTGGGGAGGAACGGCGGGACACGTGTGCGGGGAGACTCCGGCGCAAGAGACGCGGGGACTCAACACCTATGGTGGTTGCACGGATGGTCGACTGAAATTACCTTCGGCGGTCTTGTACCCTGCCAAGGTGGCGGGGACGGGGGGGGGTGGTAGAAGCAATAAGCTGCGCCGCGTCCTCGCTAAGCCCCCCCCCGGACGCGGCGGGGGGGGGGTGCTTAGCGGGAGAATGACGCGGGCCGGTGCGAAGCAGTGATCGTTGTCAATTAGAGAGAGGAAGAATTCCGACGTCTGACGGAATAAAATGAGAGAAAGAGAGAGAGAGAGAAAAGGTGTCGTCGGCCGGGCATACGGTGCAGCATGCGAGCGCACAGACGACGCGCATCTGGAGGCCTCGAACGGGCTGGCGATTACGTGCAGGCATCGCCCGTTCGCTCCCTCCTGATGCGCGCACGTTCACGGCAACGGCACAAAGAGAACATCCAGACCACGCCGTGCGGTGGACTTCGGCCTTGTCCCGGAGATCCAGCAAAGAAACGCAGAGAAGTGAAAAAAAATGTATGATCTATGATCTATGCCGCTTGTCATAGGAGACTAAAATAGCAAAGATAAATATCATCGGCCGAAAGAGGAAACGAACACAAGAGGATGTCACCAGCTGAAGTCGTCGATGTCATCATCAACATCGCCAGCTGATGATCATCGCTCCAAAGATGGAGAAATGAAAGCCGCTCGTGGAATCGGCCGTGCCTGCCAACGAGACGGTCCGGGCAGCCCTTCATCCAGCAGTGGATAAATCACGGCTTAATGAAAAGAGCGAGCGCTGTTAACTTAGAAGCAAGGCACAATAAGAAGAGCAACCCTGTGGTTAGATGTTGTGTGCTTAGCAATGCTGTGGGTATGCGCTGCGTGGTTTGGAGTGCATCCAGCCAGGTGGCTCAGCGGTAGAGCAAGCGGCTCACGATCAGAAAATCGCGAGTTCAAATCATCCCGGTTGGGGTCGATCAATTGCGTATCACTTGGTGGAGAAGTCAACGGTGGTTGTCTTATAGATGACCTCCACCCCGCTGTGGGATGTGGAACTTAACCAATGGCTCGGGGCTGTAGATGGGAGGTGAGCACTGCTTCAATGCTCATTTGGAGCAGGCAGCCACTTTTGCATGGTCAGGGTATGGGTTTGCGATTGGCAAAGCGTTGAAGACGTGGTTATGGGGTCCGCGAAGCGGAGCGTTGAGAGAAGGAGGAGGAGGTGTAAAGATCGAGCTTCCGTTAAACAAACAAACAAAGCCTAGTAACTCACGTGCCGGAGCTCTGCGTGTGGCACAGGTAATCCACGAGCACATCCAGTCCCCGGTTCTCCTCGTTCAGAAACTCCCTCACCCACCTGGGCAAGAAGAGAGGGGTAGGGGGCCCCGCACGGCGCGGTGTGAACGCACGACAGGGGGACAACCGCGGCTCGCGCGCGTATGAGTCTCGCTCTCGGACAACGTCAAGGAGCCTCGAGTCACGTGCCCTGAGGATGGAGAACCGTTGGGTGTTCTCTGGATAGTCCAGTTGCTACCCCACAGGTGACATTCACTCGGTGGGGAATTGACGAAACATCCTAACGAAGGGTCGATCTGGAAGAAAAAAAAACATATCTTTTTGAGGCTTTATTGTAGTAAAGATTATCATAATAACGATAATGATAATTGGAAGCGCAAAAGCCAGGAGGTGTGATGAGTCTGTGTGTTTGCTCGGTAGATTAAATTTGACTGGATAATAAATGTTGTGAAATTGCTTTTGATTGTTTTGTTGTACAGCAAAATAAGCACGGTGTTCCTTATTGCGGTGTGATTAGATGAGAGATTAAACACATGTGTAGGCAGTAATTAAATGAAAATAAGAAAAGCACCTAAATAAATAAGCAAGCAATACGGGAAGGATGCGCATTGTCTGCTAATTTATTTAATAATAAACCACTCTCCTTCCGCTATTGGTCATGAATTTTTATTTGCTCACTAAAATAATACTCTTCCGTTTACTATTGTGCGTGGGTTTTCAGTTCCAAAATCTCAGTAGGTTATTTACAAGATAGACAAGCAGACGACACATCTGCTGCCCATATCCATCCCTCCACACGTAAAAAACCGATTGCATCATCCCGCGGCCTTCTGGAAGAGATTATTTTTTTATTTAGATTATTTAAACACATCACATCGGCTACACGGCATTCTGCGAGTTATTTAATTATACATTTATATTTTTAAAAACACATTCCATCGGCCACACAGCCTTCTGGGAGACATTGACCTGCTCTTGTTGTTTTTATTATTATTATAAGATATTTTCTTCATCACGGATGACCGCGGCACGTGTACGCAGAACGACGAGTGGGTGCGAGCGGAACGTGGCCGAGTGGCCTCCAACTCGGCACGAGCCACTCACCCAATGTGGTTCGTGCGCAGAGAGATTTCGATCTCGCGCAACACCTGCGTCGACTCTTGCACTCGCCTCTTGAACTGCAACGAGAAAACCCATCGGCACATTCACCGCACTGTACGCACGTGCGTATGTTGAACTTCATTCGCGCCGTACGTGGCCAACCGCGCTAATCGGAGGTGCGTACGCGCGCACACAGGTTGTACATCGCGCGCACATGAGTGTGTATTCACGTGGGCAGCCTGTGTTTGCGTCAGTCCACTAGTGGACGAGGGCTTTCCTGCCCCTTGTGGGTCGAGAGGGAAACTTAACCAAACTTCACCACGCGATGCGAACTGCTGCTGTGTCACAAACATTGCGCAAGTTGGGTCTTCGTCAAGTTGACTCAGAGCTTGCGTGTCTGTTGAGCGGTGTTCATCTCCGTTGGTGATGCTGAGCCGGTGGTGTTCACGTGACGGGGGGGGGGGGGTCAGCGTCCCAATAGGACAGCGACGATTGAATCCACGCAAAGCGATTCGTATTTTATTGACCCCCGAAGTGTTGTTAATCGGTAAAAAGACCCTCGACTTGGAACCAAACTCACAACCGTACAATGGTGAGTCAAGCCGCTCTGCTTTTGCAGCGCCTGGATTGACATGCAGTTGAATTAAAAAGAAAGTAGATATTTTTGTTGTATCACTCAGAGGTGGTAAAAAAAAAACAATCCCATTGCTTTTGAGCATCTGGTCATCGTTGTTGGACGGCACCTCGGAGAGCAGGGATTACAACAATAATATTGCACAGGGCACATGGTTGCCAACCTGTGGTCTGCGGAACCGGTGAACAAATCTGTAAACGACGAGAGAAGCCCATATTGAAACCATGAACAACAAACAAACAACAACGATGTGCGAACATGTGTACAAAGCACTCAGCCTTTGTGCACACTGAAACACCACCGAGCCCTTTTCTTAAAAGCAGCTCCTGAAGAAGTGCATCGTTGTCCTGTCGTGCTACGCCACCGTCAAAGGGCATTTTCAGCAAAACGTGGCCGACTGACGCGACCGCCGGTGGTCTCCCAAGGCCACGGTAAGTGGTCCGCGGAATTGCTGCAGATACGTTTTTTGAAATACAGTAAATGTCAATCTTTATTTTAGGTGCCACTATCGCCCTTAATAAAGTAGGCATCGGTGCTCATTGCAGCAGAACGGGAACGATACAGGGGGCATAGAGCAACAGAAATGGAAAGAGAAACCCGATACATGTGTATATATGTCACCCATTGTGATATGCAGTATTCCATCGTTATTCGCGTATGATAAGTTCAGAAGATGCTCGTGAAGAGCAAATTTCACGGATAACGATAGTGGCATAATAAAACCTTTTCTCTCATTACTTATCTCCCACCACTCTATCCCATCACTTAATCTCATTATTTATTTTATAATCCCTCTCTCTCGATGCAGTCGTGTAGAGTTGCAGATACAATTCGCATATAGCGATTTCATATCGCAAGTTCGCGAATAACGATGGAACACTGCATATACATACCACAAAACATATTTTTAGCACATGGTGGCCCACAACCATCTGTCGAGGGTTGACGGTAACCCACGGGTCCAGAGAGTGGCAACCACGGCCACGGACGATAGAGCTATGCCGTGGGCATGTCGAGGGCGGTGCCCGGGTGCCGAATGTCGCCCATGGTTGGCGCGAGTGTGGGGGGCACGGTGGTGGGGGAGGGGGAGGCAAGTCACCTTGCGAGCCATGCTGAACTCCATGTGGCTCTTGAGCTGCTGGATGTAGGTGTGCGGCGGGTTCTTCACCTGGAATCGCTCCTGAGAACAAAAACGAGCGAACACAACGGTGCTCACGCACCCGCACCTCCGATTAGCATGGTTGGCCTACGCACTGTGCGAACGAAGTTCAACAAACACACATGCGTGCATACGCACATACGCAGATCTCATCCAAAACACGACCATGCCCTCCGGTCCCGCAACCATATCTTCACGTAATGTGTGTATATATGTATAGGGCCTTCATCAAAGGCGTCTTACAGAAAATTAACGATGGGTACGCATTAATGTAGTGGTGAAGATTCGGTGAATAAATAGACGATAGGAAGTCATGGGCGAACCCGTGATGCGTGAATTAAGGAAAATAAAAATTGATGACATCAACTGACGATGACCGGATTAGATGGATGGATGGGGAATGAGTGCTCGCCATGGAGAGAGACTATCAAGAGGGAGCAGGAGTGTCGTGATTAGAAGAGATTACTGGGTCGTGGAGTGAGCTGTGGAAAAAAAAAGTTAGTTTTGAGGGAGTAGCGGAAAGTAGTGAGCTAAGACGACCGCTTGGATGTGCATTGAACTTCTTTTGTATCGTACGTTAGCCAACCGTGCTAATCGGAGGTTCGGAGGGGGGGGGGGGGGAAGGACAACAAACTAAACACAAAAAGCTATTGAAAAGAAAATCGTTGTCAATCTAGATTTAAATCTAGATTTAAAAGTGCATAGCTCCAGTGGCTTCCTAATATGGGATTGAAGAACGTTTCAGATGGCTGCAGAAGCGCACGTAAAAGCACGTGATGCAGCGACCATTTTTTTTATTCGATGGCACGCCAAAGGCCGCTGCTGCGAGGATGACCGTGAGAGTTTGCGTGATGATGGTTTATGCTCCTTGACGAGATCACCAAGGTATTGTGGTTCATTTGTGGCAAGCACTTTGTGCGTAATGAGTGCGACCCTATAATGTATTCTTGCAGCAACTGGAAGGCAATGCAGCTCAGTGAGCACCGGATGGGCACGGTCGAATCTTGAAGTACCCGTCGCGACACAGGAGAACGAACTACACAGACAAAAAAACTGTTCTAAAGAAGTGAGTTTTCAATCTACATTATTTAAAAGTGGAGAGCTCCCAGTGGCTTCCCAGTAAGGTCTTAATGTGGAGGGCAAGTTAAGAGATGCCGTGGGGAAGCTGCAAATCTCGGCATCATCTTCCAAGGGCTCCCGCAGGCATCACGTAGCAATCGTAGATGGCCGCCTATTTGTTCTTGAAGATCAGAATTCACACATTTCAGAATTCACACATTTCAGAATTCACACATTTCAGAATTCACACATTTAATAATTCACACATTTCAGAATTCACACATTTCAGAATTCACACATTTCAGAATTCATACATTTCAGAATTCATACATTTCAGAAATATCCACGTAAAAATGTCATGTTTAAAAATGAAATAACGGACATCACATTGACCCAATTTCGTGAGACAATGCATCTCACTGGGCTTTCACTTGTATGTGTGGGAGGACAGCAAACTGAACACAAAAATCAGTTCTAAAGAAATGAGTTTTCCATCGAGATTTTAAAACATCGTAACAGACTGTAGGGGCAAGTGCTGTGAGCGAGCACCTATGAAGGTCGGAACGGCACACGAGGGGGTGGGTGGCCAGCACCACACCCCTCCGCTATTGTCTCCCCAGTGGCGATGTTAACACACCGCACCAGGTACTCATTTGAGGCTGAGTTAGCCTGGGGGAGGCCCAGGACCAGTTCAGATAATCGTCACTGCTGTTAGCTGTGAGCAAAAATCGAACCCGGCTCGCTAGGTTCGTAGCGCAGCACGCTAACCGCTGCTCCACCGCTCCGCCTTCACGTTTATGGTCATTCGGGATGGCGGCGCGCAGTGAAGACAAGGCGACTCCCCACCTGGTCGCAGACGAGCTCCCATTTCTTCTCGACGTCGTAATCTTGCAGCAGCTGTGCTTTGTCCGGTGGCAGGTTCATAGAATTCTGCAAAAGAAAAGCGGTGACGCAGCGCCGTCATTTATCGCCTCGCCGTGTCTCATGTCAAACCAGATAAAGGTTTATCTTGCCTTCACGGCTTCTCCCCCCAGTCGGGCATTGCTTGTTAAGATCATCTATGAGGGCATTCGGGCACCCCCACCCCTCCCCTCCCCCACTTTTAATCCCCTCCCCCCCCATTCCCATCCTTCCCCTCGAGGCGTTATCCGAGTTCAAGAAGTAGACACAAAGGATTTGGAGTTCATTGAAATACATAGGCAGGTTCAAAATATAAAAAAAGTTGGTAATATTCATTGTACTTGGCATTGTTTTCCCAACATACTGGTGGCAATTCCCACGCATGCCCTCTGCGTGTACCTAAATCGTTTGTTCGATTTAAAAAAAATACTTTTGGAAGACGATAACAAAGTTAGCCTGCGGGCTTGGAGCTCGACGAAGCGAAATATATCTCAGTGATAGCCATGGCTGCGTTGTGTCGTGCAGTTTCCAAAACGTTCACACCCGTCGAGGACAGGTCACGCGTTCCCAAACCCTCGTCTCACACGCGCGGTAATACACGGCTGTGTTTAGCAGGTTCGTGAAACAAAAAAGAGCTTCGCAACTCATCGGATTTCTTCAAGTCTAAATAAAAATTCCGATTCTGAATACAGGTCGCGGGGAACGCCGCGGCAGTTTTTCACTTCACGGAGTTTGTTTAATGAACAGAGGCTTGACTCGACAAGGCCCTCCTCTCTACTACTGTCTCATTCTGAACATCTTAAAGACCACGTGAGCTTTGGACTACAGGGCTTGCAAATGCACGCAGTTGGAGAACGCACTTCCACAAGTCTTCCTGCTTTCTCTCACCCAGAGCAGAAGCAGTAGGGCACTTGTTCGCGCGTTGCAGCAGTAAGTCACGAACTTGACGGAACGGTTCTGGGACATGGGTCCCAGGGCTTCTGAGATGAATTGCAGAGTGAGCAAGAATATCGCTCAAGCATCAGGGCTCCCGAAATTAACATCGCAAGTTCATTGCACTTAATGGCTATCATCACCACTCACCACCATTCCCTCTGGCCGTGGGCAAATGAGAACCACCTGGTGAAGAATCGCTTGGGTTTAAAATCAACGTTGGTTTCCAAAGGAGGGACTAGGCCCGCTCCGTGGGAATGTGGGGTTGCCGCCACTGACGTTGGGACCACCAGAGGACGTGAACGTTAAACGAGGCTCGTTTTGAGTGCAGAGACGCCGAACGAAATGAACTGGAGTCCCCTTTACGACACCCCCTCTGCAGACGCGAGGGTTCAGGTGGCCGTAGGGAAGCGAATGATTCGTATCAGCCAGATGCGAGGCACGTGGCTGACTTGTTCCATTGTACGGCACGTGTGCATGCATGTTGAATGTCCTTTCTCACCGTACGTAGCCAACCAAAAAAGCAGTTCTAAACAAATGGGTGTGTCAATCTAGATGACGATTTTAAAGTGCAGAGCTCCAGTGGATTCCTAATATCGGAAAGGAAGAGCGTTCCAGACGGCATCTGAAAGCGCGCGATGCGGTGACCGTCTTTGTTCGATGGCCAGCCAGAAGCTTCGGTGGGAGGGGGTGGGGGGGGGGGTGCAGCGCTGTGTTTGTGTTCACGCCGAGGTCGGTGAGGTAGCAAGACAGCTTCAGCAGAAGCCACCAGAGGCCACCACGCGGCGGTGGAAGCAAAACGTCGCGCAGTTTACAAAACCAAAACCCAGGTGTGCACGTTTTGCATCCAAATGCCGAGTCTTCTACTAAAAAAAACCTATCAACACATGCGTCATCAAACGCTGCCTTAAAAGGAATATATATTTACGGGAAAAAAATGTTCTGCAACAGGTGTCGACTTTGTGTGATGCTTGCGGGTTTAGGCCTCAACTCCTATATCCACAGTAGAGTTGCTAAAAATGAGAATAATAACTATGTTAAGTTTGTGTTTCATACAGCGTTGCCGTTCATGCAAATTGCACTTCGCAAATGCTAAGACGAGCGGGAAGGCACCGGCGGGCAAGTGACGAGCCGACGCTACCAACAATTGTCCAAGCTCTGCCATCCTCTCTCTATATATACATATCAAGGTGTTTCTATCCGGTTAATGAGCGTTAATATGTGTGGGAAGAATCTGCAGCACACGGAGAAAACCCAACGACATCAACCGGTATAGTTTTCATAACGGATTACCGCTTCCAAAAAGTCACGAAATGGTCATCAATTTTCGGTGTATTTCTAGGAATGAACTCGTTGATTGGCACACGTGGAGCTACAAAAACCGCACTCCGCTAGAAAGCTAAAAGCGCAGCCCTGCAGTTGCTGACTCGCTCGCTATCGCCACCGCCGGCAGAAAGGGGCTCCACTAGAGGGAGCTCCAGCGGAATTGTGGCCTACTCATCCACTTGGAGCGGACATCTAGGGAGAGGTGGGAGCACCCACACTTTAGGCCACCACACGCACGAACACACGGCCGACTAATTTGGGTGTGCCCTCTGGGTGGACAGAGGCGCGGGAGTGGCGAGGGGGCGGGTGTAAGAAAACTTCCACGTTATTTTGTCTGCCGCTCGTGGAGGATTGAGTGGGAAATGGGACGAACTCGGGAGTGCGAGTTCCAGCGAGCATGCTGACCGTTACTCCGCCGAGGCAGCTCCCTTCGTTTGCTCGGTTCATGAAGCTAAACACGCCACGTGGAGGGCAAGAGACGTTTATTCACGTGCGGCTACAACCGACGGTAACCAGGATTTTTACCGGTTGCTTTTTCTTTTAGTTAATTCGGTTAACCGGCAGTGGAGAGAGAAACTAAAACTATTCTAGCGACTCTAATCTCGAGTGCCACCTGCCAATTCACCCTTCCTGCCATCTCTCGCCCCCACCCCCCCGATCCCAACCACCAACTTTCATAACGCGCGTGCTCTATGCGCGTTTACCAAACCAGAGTTCCTCAACAACAGCTGCCTCCGATGGAAACGTTCATCGACACTTAGATAAAGTTTAAAACAAATCTAAACGATCTAAAAAAAAGTACGGTGTTCGCTTGAACACACTCCCACACACCGTGTACTTTTGACTTGCAATAATCCTCTAAACGCTTTAGTTCGCCAGGTGCACGCTTGTAAGTACAATGTATTATAAGTCGAGCATTCATGGGGAAAATACATATAAATGCTGCCAAAGGAAACAAAACGATGGACATTTTCACGTAGCTAATTTTTTTCGCCTAGACATGTAAATAGATCATTGCCCGGCCTCTGTCAGTCCACTGCTGGATGGAGGCCTCTCTATCCATGCCACGCTGGTCACGTCCCACGGACGAGTCCAGCGTCTCCCTCCACGCTTTCGGATAAAAAGGCGGAGGTGTCACCTTTCGCGAACGGACGTTGAACAGAGCGCTGTCTGCGAGCACGCTCGAGCTTTGCTGTGGAGCAGTTGAACATTTTTAATCTCTCGGTAAGACCACCGCCGACGTCGACTGCCCCACGCAAACAGTAACTCGTTTAAGGAACCCCAGAAGGGGTATGACGGGCTGAAGTGGCCCAAGAACTGGCCACAGTCCCCACAGCACAATGCCACTCAGCCAGCTTACGGGAACGGTTTCCACGTGCTGGCGTACAAAGAAACATTCCGCGGGAGCTCGCAGAATATCTCACGATAACCGATGAGAGGGAAGAAGCCACATGCATTCCCTTTCATGGTGTAGGAGTGTGCATTAATATATTAATGTACGTGTTGAAATTATTTCGCACTGTACGTGTAGCCAACCGTGCTGATCGAAGGTGCGGGAGAAGGACAACAAACTAAACACAAAAAGCAGTTGAGAAAAAAAAAGAGTTTTCAATCTCGATTTAAAAGTGCATGGCTCCGGTGGCTTCCAAATATCGGAAGAGCGTTCCCGACGGGCGCAGAGGCGCATCTGAAAGCACGCGGTGCGGTAACCGATGGCCAGCCAAAACAACTGTCATTAAAAAAAAAACATTCAATGAGTTTTAACGACCCAGGAAGACGTACATATTTCCCAAGCGGCTCCCTCGTAAAGAGAACGATTCCTTGGAAAACCAGGAAAACCATCACACGTGGCAACCCCCTGGCTGCCACGCCGCGCTTCCCGTGGCGCTCCCCGCGCGCAGCGACAGGAGGGAGGAAGTGGAAGAGGAGGAGGAGGAGGTGGAGGTTCTACTCCGGTTCCCGCGTGAAACGCAGAACTCGGCTGGTTTCCCTAGCGACCAAAGTTTACCCAAACAAAAAACCGCGACGGCGATACGCCGTGTCGTCAACATTCGTTTTGAAACGCCAACAGCCGAACGTCGACCGCACCCGCATTTGCACCTGGCTCCTAAATGCGAGCGGGGTCTTTTTTTTTAAGCCCGGAGTAATTATTTAGTTGCAATATCCGGTTCGGTTAAACGTTAATGTTCTTACATCCCCAGAGGTCGTTGTGGATTGGCAGAAAAGTGAAGCAGCATCGGGCGGCGCTTTCAGGTGGCGCTTCTGCGGCCGTCTGGAACGCTCTCCCTTCCGATGTTAGGAAGCCACTGGAGCAATGCACTTTGGAAACATCATCTAGATTGACAAACTCATTTCTTTCGAACTGCTTTGTTGTGTTTAGTGTTGTTGTCCTTCTCCCGCACCTCCGATTAGCACGGTTGGCTACGTATGGTGCGAAAGAAGTCCAACACACGAGGAAACGTATTGTCTGTCCGTTGCAAAATAATGACACACCTACAATAATAATTGCGCCCTTGATGTTGGACAAATACGGATTGCACTGAGCTCGAGCATCACAAATTTCGCCGAGAACGTTGCGAAGTTCAAATGCCTCCGAATCAAATTCCAATCGACCTTTCCACTCGTGCCTCCAAAAAAGTGAATAAAGTGAGCTTCACTCTGTAAGGCAGTCGTCGCCCTGTTGAGAGAGACAAGGGCTTTGCCCTCGTCGTGTGGAATTCCCGCCGCTGACTCAGCCCCACCGATTGGAAAGTGGGCACCACCCGACTCTC